TACGCATCTGAATGTCCATACTAAAACAAAAAACGAACACCCATGGTAATACAAAAAATGTTGCGAATTCAAATTCAGAGCAGCAAAATGGTAACGACACGAAGAATAATACGACCAGTGATACTGAGACTACTGCAAATTAGACTGACTGGCCGAACAGTCTTATGCCATCCCTCGGTGCGGGCCTGAATTGGAGTTCCTCAATGAATATTGATGTTCTTGTGTGCAATGTTATCATTGTTTGTTAATTGTTGTTTGTTTGTTTGTTTGTTGTTGATCGTCCTCGCCCGCGACCCGCCCGCGACCCATCGGCGACCCGCCCGCGACCCGCCCGCGACCCACCCGCGACCCACCCACATCCCACCCGCGAACCACCCAGATTGCTTTGACAGAAATTCGGCGCCTGCGGCAGGCCAGTTGTGCAATGCGTAAGAACAAACGCCTGCGGCGGATTTCTTCAGAACCTCGCAGAATGCCGACGACCCCGCCGAGTCCTCACTCTTATCCGCAACTGCGGGGGCCATGGTAATAGTGCTCATACTATACAAAGGGAAGCAGCGGGAGACAAAGCCAACCGGCATATTGCAATGGCAAACAATGGGAGATAACGTCGCCCAACCGATTGCAAGAGGGGACAACGGGAGATACCCGGAGATAACCGGAAGCAACAGGAGACAGCGTCACCCGACCGACTCCGGATCCGGTGCTTCACCTACTTGTGTCCTCGGAGACTGCTATATACCCTTACAGACAAACTGTTGAGGGAAGATAGCCCTGCAGCAACCAACGACTGATCATTCGTTACTGAATCAAGCGCGACTCAACATTCGCGTTGTCTTCTCACGATATACACAAACAATCTGGAACTTGTACCACACAATAGTAAATTCAGCAAAATAAATTACTTACATTAACACTAAAAAAGAAATCGTAAACACGTATTGCTATTTTATGTAAATGCGTTTTTACCTAAATCTATGTGAGTCGAATTGCACTGCTTCGCTGTAATACGATGTCCAGACCTGTTCTGGTATGAGTCCGCTTTGAACGACTCGGTAGTACGTCGTTGGCTTTGCAACGCCTTTCATTGCATTGCTTAGACACGTGCTGTTTTGCATTACTCCGTGGTGCTATGTAGTGAGTCGCAGTGCGTCGCTCTGGTTTACATTAACTGTGTTTCGCTTGAACTGCGGTAGCAATGTGTTTCCTTGCACTCCTGTTCTTCGCAGAGGTGCTCGAAGAAGGTTGCGGGCATCCCTGAGGATTCACGGCGTAATCTTCAAGAAAGGCAGCCTTGTACGTGAACTAGGCGCGATCCGAGTCATGAGCTATAACAAAAACTACGACTAAGCAAACTCAACCTGATCCATTTCCGACTGCAAACACGGCAAGCCTGGAAATTCCTTCAGCATGCCCAATACAAATGGAACGGGCAATCAAATGCTACGGCAGTGCTTTGATTTCCGAATATTTGAACTACTTCGCTTTGCAAGGCAACGCACAGCGTTCCTGTGCGGTGCGACGACGTGTGGCGCAATGCATTGCATTTCACTGTGTCGTCTATTTCGAATTGCGTGGGCTTTGAACTGCGGCGCATCACAGCTCATCAGATTACGTTTCGCTGGTTTTCTCTGCTCAAACATGCTTGCAGTACACTGAGGCCCTCGAACGAGAGGGCGGAACCGCCGACGAACCAAAGGGCACGTGCGCATACCGAGATTCGGGATTCAGTCTCCACCGGCCCCTCTTTCGCACACAGAAAATGAACTCCAAACAAAGTTCACTCAAGAGAAATGGTGCCCCTCAAAAAAAAATGAACTAGGCATACCGAGCCAAAAGGTAACCAAGCAGCGGGTTCCCTCCCTTTGTACAGTCATACACAAACGTACTGCCTCACACCCGTGAAAGAACCAACACACGGCGCAATGCACTGCTGCATATTCAGCACCTCCTTTTCCACCCACTCACTTCCCCTCAAGTCTGCTCCTCTTCCTCCTCCTCCTCCTCTTCCTCCTCATGTCTCCTCTTCATCCTTCGCATGATCATTGGAATCACCACCACCACCACCACCACCACCATCATCATCATCATCATCATCATCATCATCATCATCCTTCATCATCCCTTTATCATCATCATCATCATCATCATCATCATCATCATCATCATCATCATCATCATCATCATCCGCATCATCATGATGATCATCATTATCATCATCATCAGCATCCTCTTCAACGTCATCATTGTCATCATCATCATCACAATCAACTTCATCATCAGCATCATCATCAGCATCATCAGCATCATCATCAACATCATCCTGCTTCCTCGGTGCCCTCCGCAACTCCGTGGTTCCGGGCCATGCCCCCGCGCGCGCCTCCCCGCATGCTCGGGGCCGACCGTCCTCGCAGTGCACACGAACGAGCAGCATGAAGGCCCCCTTCGCCTCACACCAGCTCACCTCCTCAAAGGCCAGCGGTGGCAAGCCATCCGAGCCCTTCGGGGGGAGAAGGGCAGCACGGGGGAGGGACCGCCTGCGAGGCCCTCGGGGCCGGCCGAAGAGGCCGAAGCCCTAAAAGACTCGCGCACGTTGTGCGATTTCCGCGTGCTCGCCTCTTCTCTCTCAGGAGGGAACGAACGAACGAACGACCACCTCCTCGCCTCCTCCTCCTCATCTGCCCAGACAGCAGCCCAAGCCTACTTGGGACCAGGTGAATGAAGCCGTGGCCTCCGAACTACTACGGTGTACGGTGAGGCATGCACGCGAGACATCTTTAGAAAAAATGTGAAACGGAGAGGGCGGGGAGGAGTGGAAGGGGGAGGGACTGAGGGGGAGGCAGGGAGGGGAAGGGCAGGCCTGCGTTCCGCGGGCACCGCCAGGGGGACCTGCGCCACACGACCTCAAATTCCTCGGCGTCGCGAGCGAGCACCAACGGTCATCTCCGCCGAGGAACATGAAAAACGCCTGAGCCCGTGCCACGGCCAATGCTGGAGCTCTCGAGGCCCGAACTGTCGATCCGGAGCGAAATACCCGGCAAAAATGGAACGATCCGCCAGCGTCCAACCATGGAAGCCTTCCAGGAGAATTGTCTATCGGGCGCAAGTTCTGAAACACCTCAAGAGATCCATCATGGCTGCCTGTCGCCACGTTCGGCCCGAAGAAGTCCCAAGTTAACTCCCATACAGATGCAGGAGACCCAAGATGGATCGTTCAGAAATCGCACGTTGGAAGCAGGACATGAGCCACGGCAACCACCGGTTGACACTCAACGTAACAAACGCAGTGTGAAACGAACATGAAAACATTAAATGAGGGACAAAAGACACAGCGGAACACTCACCGGAAAAAGCAAGCGTACGTGTTGAAACGACGCCACGGGCGACTGCGTGACACTCATCATGGATGCAGAAACCATAATGAAAAATATCCTGGACGCGGACTTTGCCAGGCAAGACTCACAGACGGGAACGCAGGGTGGCCACGAGAAGGCCACTGAGGCCTGGGCACGACGCCCATCAACTAAAACGCAAGCCGACTCACGAGAAAGCAAAGAACTACAAAAGCGAATACCGGGGCCACCGAGCGGGCAATGGACCATCGAAGACCAAGCTCAGCAACCGTTACCGCCATCAGAGATTCGATGACGCGTGGCAAAAATGCAAATGTCAAAAATGGCCACGGCGTCGCCCTCGCCATGGGAAGCATAGAATACAAAAAGAATCCGAGAGCGGCATCAACACGTCGCCATAATACCACGGTTGCGGGGAACACAGAATGTGGCCAACATGAAAAATGTGAAACCGAAGTGTCGCGCTCACCCAATAATATCAAAATAATGTACGAACAACCGCCAAAAAACATTTGCCACTAATTGAACTCTTGCGCGCACATGCACGTCAAACTCATCAAACCATAAGATTGTACATTATGCATCGTGTTGTTCGTTTTATGCGATGAGAGGTCGTTCCGCCTCAAAGGAAAACGTGTTTGCACCATCTCGGTAGAATTAATTTCACGGCACAGCGGCAACGTAAACTCAAAATGCGTTCAAACAGCTTGAACGCGAGGCTGGTAAACAAAGAACGACTACAAAAGATAGTAGATGAATACTGGTCAATGCAAGTCACACATCTATGTATCGCACAACTGTGAGAACGCGCTAATTGAGACGCTGAACACATGGATTTGGTACAAGGCAGAAACCAATTGAGCGTTTAGAGCGTGAGGACTAAAGAACTGGCATTGCTTGCCATTGAACCACACGTACCGTACTGCACACAAATCGCCGCCCACCCCCGTTCAAGAATCCCACCAGCCCTCTGGGCGTAGACGGTTTCGCGAGTTTACTATTTCCTTCCCCTTTCTCTCCCTCAAGGGCGCTGTCACTTCTCCTTTCTGAATTAAGCCCTCCCCCCCCCCCTACCGAACCCTGACCACGGCCGGAGCCGACCCCCCCCCATCCTCCTCCCCACCATCCCCGTCAGAACAATACTACAGCGCACGTCGCGGCAAAACCTTAATCGTCTTCGGACGCCCCGCAAGCATAGCTGAATGTTCTGTTGCACCAGGCGGCGGGGTAGGGGAAGGGCCGTCATATATTGCCCCGCTTGCGCAGGCCGACCATCCCTGCCAAAAACCGTGCGAGACGCGCGTTGCGGCAAAATCTTGGAACATGCGCAGGCGCCACGCGATCATTTACATTCTTCTCTGGCAAATAATGGGAATGCCCTGGCACCCAGGGCGCCTCTCGCGGGCGTCGCGCACATGGCTGGCGCTGGCACTGGTTCCCGATGACTGTCGACGGCAACGCCTGCCAACTGAGACCCGGGTGCGATCATGTCAGGAAGCAACTACTGGGACGTCTTCGTTAGAAGAATTACGGAGGATGACGCCCCATTGGAGGGCCACTACGCCGGATTAGGCCGCGGATACAACGGGATTCAGACCATGGCAATCTCAGAATTTGACCTCCAAGGAGTTGCATTCGAAATCATTTGGTGGGAAGGCGGGCGGGGGTGATGAGCGGGACAGCCGCCTCCTAACCTAACCACCCCCCGTGGATCTGGACTGGCCCAGTCGCGAGGGGTTCGAGCGTCCAAGAGGCCCCGAAAAAACTCAAAATAGCAGGAGTGACGCCGCGCAGCAACGCCGGCTCCCGGCAGTCTGTGCTGCACAGAAACGAAGCGACGGCGAACGCGCAAACAATGCCGAGCGCGGAAGCGGGAGGCGAAGGCGGCTCGCCGAAACAAACACGCGGGCAACTGGGCGAGCAGGCGGGCGGGCAGGCAAGCAAATCTTCAAAGATCGCACAACAAAAATCAAAATGACACAAGAAGATTGCACCATGCCTGAAAAAATACCCGAGACGGGTCCAAATGGCCACGCCACCTCCCAAAGACTCCTTTGGAAGCAACAACCCAATTTGAAATATACTTGCTTTGCGTTCTCGCCATTTCGTTTCCGATGGCCGTTCGTAGCCTCGCCAAGAAGTGAACTCCGAGCGGGGCTCGAAGATTTCTCAATTGCCTTCAGGCACCCGAGCACGCTCCAAAAGTGCCCCAATACGCGATCGCTCTCCGACGGGAGAACGCCATTCATGACCCTCCACCCACCCCGGCTTGTCTGCTCGACGGCCTCGCCACAAGAGGGTTTTCACGAGCTCTGGAAACGCCCCAAGAGAGCCCCACAATGCCATTCAATACCCCCAGAATGTTTTATACCAATATATGCATATATGTATACGACTGCCTAAAAAATGATTTATAAAATAATAGTAATAACAATCAAAAACCATATTAATAGTAATAATAAGAAGAAAAAAAAAGAAGAATAGTGTAATAATGATGATTTCAAGAAAAAATTAGATGTCCGACGCGGATCACGTCCTCGATTTCGACGACTTTGTCGCTGGGTGCACTGACTGGTGCCTCAGTGGCGCAGCTGCAGCGCGAGGCGGGGCTGGGGCGCCGCATGTTCTTCAACGCTGTTGGATATGAGAATTGCTATCGTTGCTGCACACACACACATTCAACTGTCATGGACAATGTTGTTCCTGCGTTCGTTTCATTGCGCGTTCGCTTGTTGGAAAGATGTTACGCACTCTGCATTGTTTGCTCAAACGTAACCACCAAGTGACGGAAATCTTGCCAACTGGACCTGGTACGTTGTGGAAACCGTATGTTCTCCCACCGGCTGTCACAAATTTGCCAACGAAAGCAACTGTTGACTGCAGGCTCAGCTTCTGACACCAATTCAAGATAACGTAAAACCAGAAGCTGACTTACGGGGCAAGGCCCCTTGCACAGCGGGTTGGGCGGGCAGCCCAAAAATTCACGAAGCCAGGAATCCAAACTGACACGAATTCGCGTTTCGTGCCGGCCCGTCGCGGAATCGAGGGTTCGAGTCTTGCGTTTTCCCGTGCGCTAGCGGACTCGCTCTGCCCAGAACACGGTGAAATTGAGCCAAAAGCAGCAGCGCAATACTATACAGGGGCTGAAGTGAGACGGGACACGTGGCGGTGTTCTGTCCCACCAGAGCGCACTGGAGACGATGCCCGTCGCCAGGCAGAGCGCCTCAGGTTCAAAGGAAAACCGCTCTCAAAATATGCATTCGGTGCATTTTCAGAAAATATGTCGTCTGAAAAGGTGCCCGGGGCCGAGGACAAGCTGTAGGAAAGCCCTGGACGTCTAGACCCAAGAAAATTCCACTGCGGGACATCCGGGACCTCGATCTGCAGGTCCTGGGGCCAAGAAAGGACAACTACATCAAAATCACCACCGGGCAGACCGCACCGACTCAAGCGTTGCTACGGCTCGTCGAAAATTACGGTTCCACCGACACTGCACCTACGCACCCAGGAGCTGCCAGACATGTAAAGTGAAATGCCCTGAGTGCGAATATGATGACTAATAAACCCTAGGTGTAGCAAACACGCTTCTAGAAAGCAAATCAAGAAATAGACAAAATTAGGTGCAACTTACGAGAGAAGGCAATGGGAGAGGGATACTACTACTGTGCATAATGATTCAGAGCATCTGTGCCGAAGCATCACGCGCCTCTCAAGTCAAGCGCAATCGGCGGCGTGCAGGGGCGGCACCAGCAGCCAGTTCACTCACGAGCGGGTACAACCAGCGGTACTCCTCCGTCGCCAGGTCGACCCACTCGGACTTGCCGTGCATGTCGTCGCTTCGTAGGATTCCGACGCGGCTGGTCGCCGACAGGCTGATCACGTTGCGCTTGACCCAGGCGCGGCACCTCATGATCTCCAGCTGCAACTCCTCGTCCTTGATCGGGGCGCCCAGCTCAGCAAGCTCGAGAAGCCTCAGCCTGTTGACGTGAACGGGCTGGCTGAAGCCCAGCGACGTGCTGCCCGCATCTGGGCGTGCCAAAATGGCGGACTGCGGACTCACCAATACTGCGGATGCGGTGAATCGCGGGGCGGAACCTCGGCAGCAACCTCGTCGAAATACCATCAAGCGCCCCGATCGCGCGGGCGA